TTCTTACAAACAGAAATTCTCTACAGATATCACTACCCCACCTCCAGCCTCTAACCTCCAGCCTCTACTGATTTCACTTGAGTTTAAAAATTGCTAAAATGTACCGAGTGATTCATCTGGCCAGGTGCCATATTACAGGCTATGTGTATATTTAGTACTTAAAGCCATGAGATAATTACTATTCTTTCCAGGTTTTACAGAGACCACAGGTCTTAGAGAGGTTAGATAACTTTTCAAAGTAAAGCAAAATATGAGCTTGCAAACTGAAGACTTGAACCCAAGTCTGTCTGTCTGTCTCCAGAGCTTTGGCTCTGCCTGTCGTCATCCATTAAGGAAATCAAAAACCACTTTGGATTCTTCAAAGGATGAGGGTTTTCATGGAGGAATTGAATTCTAAAGATGTTGGAAATTCAGGAAGAGCAAAGGAAAAAGAAAGCAGTGTTTCCAGAGATTGGGAAGCTGCTGTCACTCCAGGACTGGAGCACACATGCCCACACTCACTGTTGAATTGGGCAGCCCCTGCTGCTGCTGCAGATGCCACCACTGCTTCCAGGATGCAGCTGATCTTACTGAAGCCAAGGTCATTGGCATTGCTGATACTAAAAGCTGTCAAAGCCGCCACTACTGGAGCCACCCCTAGAAGTAGAATGGCTTGTCATCTTCCTGACTTTTAATTTGGTGCAAATGCTTCCAATTGACAGAACAAACCACAGCCTAGCTAGCGTAGAATTGTGACTTTCAGGCAAGAAAAAGACAGTAGAGAAATGTGAAGCCAGGTATGGTGTCTCCCTATAATCCCAGCAGGAGGGTGAAGCAGAAGATCTCAAGTTCAAGGTCAAACTCAATGACTTAGTGAGGCCTTGGCAACTTGGGGAGACCCTGTCTCAAAATAAAAATTAAAAAGGGCTGGGGATGTGGCTCAGTGGTTACGTGACCCTGGGTTCACTCCCCAGTACCAAAACAAACAACAAACAAACAAAAAAAGTGTAAAGTTTGGGGTCAAGCACAGTTTAACCAGCCCATCTCCTCAACATCACATCACAGTACATCTACTAGTCAGGGAAAACTAGGGTGATGAGCCTTGAAAATGGACATTACAACATCAGAATATTTGTAAAGTCCTTAAGAAAGTCATGTTTTCTAGGGCAGTCCTCCCACTGGAGAAAACTGAAGTTCACAGAGTGGAACCAATCCACTCAAAGCCAAATTGAAATAAGGTGGGTTTTTTTTTCTTTTTTACATTTTATAGCAGTGTTATCTAACTTCATTAAGACCCACATGCATCTGGATTCCCTGAGTTCAAATCAATTGTATGAAGAGACGGCCAGAGCTTAGTTACATCATCCTGGGGTGCAACATGCACTCTAGTTATGATGACTGTGGGTTCTTTAGAAGATTTTATTCAGTGCTCGTCCATCTTCTCACCAGAATGAAATGAGTGGCTAAGTAGCACCAGCTATGTAGTGTAGAAAGGAGATGCTCAGTCACATCAGGTGACCACTGAGAGAAGACTTGACATAAGAACAGAGGTGTGCAACCTGTTGCTGATGGGGAAATTTGTTAGATGGGACTTGGGCACAGGCTCTTTTATCACTAAAATGTGAAACTGCACAGGGGGGTGCCTTTCTAGAAAGGAAGTATGAAGATATAAGAACCCATCAATCCTAATAATGTTGTTCTGGATGAACAGAGATTGGAAGCACTCTACAAGGAACTGTGTGCCGTGCATGTAGCCTTAGGTGTATACTTCAAAGGTAGAACGGTGATCTGAGTGTCGGTTCTAGCTACAGTTCTGCAGTGTGTAAGTTTTTTGACTTTTGGTAAAACACCTCCCTACCATGTTGGGTGTTTGTGTGTGTGTGTGTGTGTGTGTGTGTGTTTTGCCATCAATAAATAAGGGTGTCAGTCCACCTTAGTTATGATTCTTGTAGCCAGTTCACCATCGAGGAAAAGTTCTTTCATACGATTAACAGCACTTTGGTTCTCTTTCCCCAGTGTGTCAGCCACCTCCAAAAATCCTGCACGGTGTGCATACTCTAAGCAATAAGGATCAGTTTTCCCCTGGGCAGGAAGTGTTGTACAGCTGTGAGCCTGGGTATGACCTCCTAGGAGCTGCTCTTCTGCGCTGCACACCTCAGGGAGACTGGAGTCCGGCTGCCCCCGTGTGTGCAGGTACCTAGATTGTTGTCTGGCTTGACATTTTTAGCTTGTGTCTTCAATCTCCACACACTACTATTATTTCTCTTTGGCTTTCTTTTTCCCTAGTGAAATCCTGTGATGACTTCCTGGACCAACTCCCCAATGGCCGTGTGCTAATTCCACTGAATCTCCAACTTGGAGCAAAAGTGACCTTTGTTTGTGATGAAGGGTAAGAGTGAGCTTGCCTGACCTGATGGCCTTCAAAGCTGAGATTAAGAGTTTGTCTATACATTAAGATGTAGGAGGGCACCCACCTCCTCCCGCCCTACCTTATCACTTCAGTTAATCCCTATCAGGGGATTAATTCACTAATTGGGTTAAGGCTCTCACAACCTAATCATTTCTCCTTTGAACCTTCTTGCATTGTCACATTTAGATGTGAGGTGGGGGACACCTCACATCTAAACCATGATATTAGCACACATGTAGGACAGCACCAGGGCTCAAAATGCATTGAGAAATCTGGATTATTTCATACAAAAGTTGACTTCTCTTTTCTTTTTTCCCTTTGAATAGTCAGACTTACTCATCAATAGCCCGACCTTCTCTTGTGAGCTTCTTCACAGCCATCACAAGTGTAGAGACACCAGAACAATTTCCATTCTCTGCTTTTGGATTCCAAACTGGGAGCTGATTTGCTTGGGTTCCAGGGTCAGAGTGGAGAAGAGGTTGCATTAAAAGCCTGGTTTGTTTGGGGCTGGGGATGTGGCTCAA